TTACACTGGAAATCTCCGTTGAAGGAAGTTCGAAACCATATCTTCATAAGCAAATATATCTTCACATTTTTTGGTTCTGCTTGCTTCCCAGATGTCCACATCCTTAGTCCATGTGAAGTCAGATAGGGACACCAAACCCAAGGAAGAGTGTGAACATGACTAGGACTATGTACTGAGAACCAAACAGGAGTCTTTAGGACAAAATTTCTGAAAATATGGATTGAATTCAACAAACATGTAGTAAACAAGCCTAGGTTTCCAATGCCGGGGCTCTTCTTGATCATCCTCTACGAGAGATATGAAGCAGATCCAGACATAGACAGCTCTAATAAGTGACGGGTAACACTAGAGACATCAGCAAAGCCTAGAGAGTCTGAGAAAACAGAGATCAGGGAATGAGGTATTTCAGTCTGGTACGAATGGAGCTTGAGGTGTGTGTGTAGGGTCACTGTCAAGAGAGAGAACTCCGGACAAACAGGAAACAGCCAAAATCTATTAATATAAACTGAGGTGTTCGGATTTTCTGTCTATAGGGAGCCATTAATGGCTTCCAAGCTCAAGGGTGACATGATGAGATCCGTGTTCCAGGAAGGTAACACTGATGGAGATGGGAAGGATGGGAACTGAGCAGGGAGACCTGAACAGAAGCTTCGGCAGCAGCTTTTGAAAACAACGAATGCCTCACTTAGGGCAGTGGTCTGGGGCGGAGAGGAGGAGGCACATTCTCAAACTGGTTGAGTGGAGACTTGTCCAGCTGGAAGTGGGCAGTAAGGGAGAGGGGAGCGGTGATGTCTAGGCTTCTTGTCTGAATAACTGAGAGGAAGAAATAATGCTTTTTAGTGAAAATATTTGTTGTACAGAGGTAGTTGCACAGTTACAATTAATTAATTAGCTAATTGATTGATTAAGATTAAGAATCAGATTGGTCATTGGGAAAATTGTAGACGAAACAGCCTAGATAACTGACATTTTTTACTTTGGCCAATTGTGGGGGTGTCAGCCCGGCACAAACCAAAGCATGCTCACCCCTAACCAGCTAATAATTCCTCTTAGCTGATAGGTCTGTTCTCAGTAGTCATTGAAGACTGCCCAACGTTTCTTACGCTTGTAATATAAGAATAGAAAAAGATGATACTCACTATAAAGGTAACATAGACCATGGATATTTTTCCCTGGATAAATAATATAGGCCCAAATGACAAAGCCCTTAGTAAGCATGGATTTATTATTTCTCTTATCCATGCTATTTGTTTTTCCATTTGTTTTCCGTTTTTGATTTATTATGGACTGTGTACTTGTGTGTTGATTGTAGATTAATTAAAGAAAGAACACTACCCTTTTTCCTTAGAAAGATAAATTCTGTTCTAAAGAAGGCAAAAATCTCAGTGGAATAAACACAAGTTTTCTGGTTATAAAGAATTCTTCTATATAACTTTATTTATTTATTTTTAGCATGATGCTGGAATTCAATCCCTGCAAATAGAACTCTCTTAGGAGTTTGAGGGGTTTCATTCATTAAGATATTTCATGAACTAGTGGCAATGTGGCTGCATTTTATCCTCTTAAATTTGAATTTTACTTCTGTTACAAGCCTGTATCATTGGGGATTTCAGTCTATAGTTGAATGGGAACAGGGCTGTAACACGTGACAACACATTTCTCTAAGTTATGTTCACTAAAAGTACCACTCCTACCCACTAAAAGCAAACTAGAATGAATAATCATTCTCATTGGTTGTGTTTCCACACTGGCCCTATGAATGAAATTGCATTTGCTTGGGAAAATTTTGTTTTTGCTTAAAATCACAAATGGGAATTCTATTTTATTTTTTAATGTATGTTCTGTACAACTAGTCTAATACATGTTTATTAAACACATTTATTCCTTCTCTCCTCTCTACAGAGGGTGGGCATTTGCCTTCCTTGTTCTCCAACACAAACTGCCAGCCGGCGCCCTACCAGGGTCTTTTCCTCACACACTGCAGGGAATTAGGGGACCCTGTGCCTGTTTTCCTCAGTATCCCAGGCTGACATTTCAAAAAGTACTTCCCATCATGCCTTCTACACGGAGAATTACAAGAAGGTCTGAAAAAGCACTAGAGACTGTAATTAGAAGATCAGATTATTAGGGTGGATGATGGGAATGGGACAGTTCTTTTCCCTTTCCAATAACAGAGCAAAAACCCAACTGCCTTTGTTCGTCAACCAAACAGAATTCATTCTAAGTTTATCTCGTCACAGGATATGACCGGCCAGCTTGGCAATCTGTGGTCACAAATGCTGTTAGAATTCATTGCAAACCTCAAGCAATGGCTGGTGTGGTCCTGATGGCAAAAGTCATCCAAGGCCAAACCCAGGTCTGTTGGGCCTGCACGTTCTAGTGGGGTTTGGTGACCCACATTCCCCCAGGCTATGAATCATGCATTCTACCACTGTCATGATTCCAGGAGGAGTTCCTGGGTCGTGCAAATGGTTAAACACTAGACTACTAGCCAAAAGGCTGGTGGTTCAAATCCACCCTGAAGCACCTGGAAAGAAAGGTCTGGCAATGTGCTTCCAAAAGGCCACAGCCTTGAAACTCCTATGAAGTGCAGTTCTACTCTGCACACATAGGGTTGCTATGAATCAGAATCAACTCAATGACAACTAGTTTTGTGAATGATCCTAGCGGAGTTCATATTTGGAGCCTTATTTCCTCCTCAGTGAAAATGAGCTTTTTAGACACTCTCCTGAGGACAGGGGGAAGCAGAGAACATAGGGCAGGAAGGATGGGGAGCAAAGTCTTTAGGAAACAAGGTCCTGAAGATTAAAGAAAAACTTTGACTCTCTGACGATCTTGCATAAGGTTAGTTAGCCCTGGAACAAATCTACCATTTTGAAGTGAGCCAGTGTGAGCTTACTAAGGGCGTACAGGGTAAGAACTCTTGCCCTTTTGTTATTTCTGAAATCTGAACTGCTTTTAGAAATAAGGGCTGGAATGTTCCATAGGAACTCGGAGCATGGGACACAGGGGCGTGGCACACACTCGGTGTGGGCTATTTAAAAACCAGTCCTTTGGCTTCCCTCTGGGATTCTAAATGTGTGTAATCACATTACCCTGCAGCAGCCGGCAACTATTTCTATAACATTGTCCGGTATCTGTGGTTGTGTGGTTGGGTCCATCCAACAAAAACAAAGTGGAGATGTGTAACTGATTAAGTTGGTCAATCCAGGCTTTTGGTGTCACCACTAAAGTCCATCTAGTGTTGGAAAAGGAGTAGTTTGTGCCGATTGACACTTCTCTTTGAATTTTAAGGACTGATATATTTAACTATCCTGGGGGGAGGCAGGTGGCTTAGCGCATCAAAAGGGTACTTTTTATATGAGCCATTTATTTATCTGACAAATGAACAATAGAGGTACAATTTATCACTTTCTTAGACACAGTAAAATCTTATCCTATGGAAGGATCTCAGCATTAGAGGTTTGGCCCCTTTATGTACTAAAGAGTCTATTATTTTTGGATTTGTTTAACGAGGTAACACTTTCCCTAACCACACCACTGTCCATCAATCAAATAGATAAACCCCTTAGGAATATTCTACTCAATTGTTAATCACTCAAAGACATTAACCAGGGGAAGGACATCCGCCAACACTATTATATAATATTAAAAAATACCTGATCAGGTTTGTGAATTCAATGAAATAGTTAAACCAGTTTTGGTATTTCATATAAACCAAACAATAAATTACGTGATTTTTATCTTTTTAGAGTTATCTAAATTTTTAAAATCCTACCATTTATGAAATGTGTAGCCATTTGGCATATCCTTGCCCTTGGCATACCGTATGCCAAGTGTTTTATCTACTTAAATCTTATTCAGCTCTGATAACAACCCTTCAATGCATATATTATTGTCTCCATTTTACAAGTGAGGAGTCTGAGGCTCAGAGAGAGTTAGTAATTTGCACAAGATTACATTTCTGGTTTCTAGCGAGAAGTGGGGTAAGATTTAAATACCAATGTCAAACCCATGATGTTTGCATGTGTATACAGAACCTCAGCCAAAATGGTCAATTAAAATAACAAAACAAAACAAAAAACAAACAAACAAACAAAAATCTTGGGTTCTGAACCTTGCAGAGAAGGTAACCAAAACTCAGTTGATTGACTAAATTGTCCTGTTCCCACCTGGAACCCGGTAATTACAGCCCGTCTGTTGCCTGATACCTGAGTACCCGGAGACCTCTTGGCCCCACGTGGTACTGCCCTAGGAACTAGAATTTCAATTGTCAAACATTACACATCAGAACAAATTATACATGTTACATTATGCCTGCGGAGAGCTCTGATTTCTTAGTCAAATATTATCTTTTTGAATATTTTCAGGCGCAGACTTGAATATGTGGTTCCCTCGTGGCCAACTCAAAACACATAGCAAAGACTAATCCTTTGCACTATGCTATATTAGTATTTTCTTTCCTTCCTTATAAGGGGACTAGTTATAAATTAGATGAGATTAGAAGACAATCTTTTGAGAATTAATATTTTAAAGAATTACCTACAGGGAACCTAGTTTGTTTTCCCCACATGGTAAATCATATAGAGTAGCAGCCTGCCCCAGATTCCCAGGAGACAACATCTTGAGTGCATATGTTATGCTGGGTTCTGTATTGACTAATTCAAAAACTCCAGGGCAAAATAACCAAAGTTCCCAAGTCAAAAATGAAACCAAAATAGTGGAATGGAATTGAAATCATTGTTGCCACAATCCGACAACTTCAGAAATAGCCATTAAAGCAGATAACATTACAGGTTAGCAAATTCACCGCTGCGAGAATCAACCTGTCCTGTTGGTTTTCAGTCGCAAACAGACCCATCCACCTCTCACCTTCCTGATGTTCTTTTTCTTTTCAAAATATAATCACATTTGACAAAATTCATATTGAGATCATTTACTAAAGGGCTTATCCAAATATAAGCTATATTATAAATAGGCATGATATAAATATTTCTCACAAGAGCTGCAGCGATGGTGTGAATAAAAAACTCCCTTCTGAGATTTCAGTAAAACCAGATCTCACAAAGGATCTGAAAGAAAACAAAACAAACATACACACACAAAGAGACACACACACACACAGAACAAACCTTATGTTAATCCAGTTTAGCATAACAGTCACTATTTTGATGCTATTTTATGAAGTACTGTACTGTCCCTCTTAGATGAAGTAATAGAGATGAATCTGCTACAGGTTTCTCATAATAATGTTCACGGGGGAGAAATCTAAGCATGTTCAGTAGCAGCTAACAAAAATCAAAAATTAAATGCAGCAAAAGGTTAGCACTGTCAGATGGCCAAGCATGCAAGAGGAATCTCCATGCCTTTCTACCAATACATGCAAAGCCCAAAACACACCGGCTTGAATTCTTAAATCGTAAATTAGATACCAAAATGCTTACGGGCCTTACAATGAGATAACATCAGGAGGAACGGTGCGTGGGATGGATCTGGCATTCTCACATAAAGCATTATCTTTGGTACAAGTACACACGGCAGGGCATTTTGGCTTCGCTGGTTTCTTCCCCTCAGTCAGCAAAAGCGCAGAAAAGAGACATAGGAAATAAGCAATTCTTTTCAGGGGGACGCAGGCATTTCCCATCCTTTGGCTTCTCTCTGCTTCCATGCAGTCGACAAAATATCCCCAAACATGAACAGGGCTTCTGGAATTCAGATGATGATCGGCTTGCTCTAGACCAGCTCACATAGGAGTCCACCCTTTTCCTTGGCCTCTGTATCTGTGCTTTTCAAAACAGGGACCTGCAGCTGATTCGTGAGCTGCTACTCGCTCCAGCAATGCACTGCTCGGGGGAAGAGACCTGTGAGGTGCTGCGAGATGGGAGCGATCCAACTGCTGGAGGAGAGAGCCGACTTGCATCACCATGAAAACACTGAGCACAGACCAGCCTTCGAAGGCAAACTGAAGTGATGTAACAGAAAATAAACAGCTTTCTGCTTTCACCGGGAGGCCCTTTAATTGTTACCAAAAATGGGACGGCATTATGTCTTATTAAGTGGGTGGGTGGGTGGGTGGGACCAGAGTTCCAATATTGGAGCTCGGCAATCTCAGAAACCTCTGGGAATTGGCTTTTCATGTAGCAAACAACCGAGTAAGACCAACTGGCTTGGGAGCCAGCCCCGGCTGGAAAAATGAAGTTAAATGAAACTCTCCTGTAGCATTCGACTCAAACCTCGCTGTTTCTTGCTGAGTCCACCTCACTGATGCCATCGGTGAAAGACAAATAAGAACACACGGAGAATGTGACTTTCAGGAAATGAATGTGAGTAAATACTTTTCCGACACTCATCACCTCTGATGAATTATGGATTTTCATAATTCCCCCCGCCCACCCACATGTATAATGCATGCCCTCCTTCCATGATGAGGGAAGGAAACAGAAGCCTTGATGGCCTCTGTATATAACCCACCTGCTTGTTCCTCTGCACCCCCACATGCCTTCCTCAGTGGTAGCGCTAGCAGCCTGGAAGGAACTCCCTGCCAGCAGGAGGCACCCAACTTTGGCTACCTGAGCATGAAACGACCTGGCTCAGCCCAGGAGGCTGTGGTAGAGTCTGGAAAACACTGCATTAAAAACGCAGAGACCTGGCTTTGAGACCCAGTTCTGCCATGAACTAGCTGAGGATGTCCCTGGATCTATTTCCCATCTGTAAAATGAGGGTGTTAGTACAGAAGTTCCAAAATTATTACAAAAATTAAATAAAAATAGTAACCAAAACCAGTTACCGTCGAGATGATTCTGACTCTTGGTGACCCCATGTTCATCAGAGTAGAACTGTATGTGCTCCACGGGGTTTTCAATGGCTGGCTTTTCGGAAGTAGATTTGCCAGGCTTTTCTTCCAAGGTACTCTGGGTAGACTCAAACTTCCAACCTTTCAGTTAGTAGCCGAGCATGTTAATTGTTTGTACCACACAGTGACTCAAAAAAATCAGTTGCTGTAGAGTTTACTCAGACTCATGGTAGGCTATGTTAATGCCATACTTGAGAAAGTGGATGCTCCCTGAACAAGGATATTCAGTTGAAGAAGAAAAAACAAGAGGCCCTGGCACTGGGGAGAGGTATGTCCCAGTGGCTGGGAAGATGCTTAGGATCAGAAAGAGGAGGACAATAGATCCCTGACCCTCTTACCATGCTGCAAGCGGGCGTCCTTCAAGCTGGCATAGTCAGCCGGGGGATGTCAGTCCACAATCTTTTCTCCTCGTTTCTTAGAATGAAAGTATTAAAAAGACTGTTTGAGTGAATGCATGATTTCGACATAAATTCATCCTGCATTGGAGCTTGATGCATTGACACACTACGCTTTCCCTCTCATAGTGTGCACCCACACTCACTCAGTTGCTTGTTTCTCTGTAAGCCCTGTGAGCAAGGGCAGTGGCAGTCCCATTCATTTCTCCTATTTGATTACCCCAGAAGACTGTAAACACCATGAAGGCAGAGACCCTGTTGTGAGCCCAGTGCCCCGACAATGTCCCGTGTGAGCAACAGCGAGTACAGTCCATTTATCGTAATCAAGTGCTCATCCAAATAAACTTCAGAGTGCAACTCAGAGTTACAATAACAGGGTTAGACTAGTCAAGGAAGTCAGGGGACACTTTCCTGAAGAAGTAATGACTGAGCTGAGTTCCTAGGTTAAAAAAAAAATCAAACCCGTAGCCGTTAAGTTGATTCAGACTCATAGCAACCCTATGACAACCCTATAGGACAGAGTAGAACTGCCTCGTAGTGTTTCCAAGGCTGTGACTCTACAGAAGCAGTCTGTCACATCTTTCTCCTGTGGCACACCTGGTGGGTTCGAACTGCCAACCCTTCTGTTAGCAGCCAAGTGCTTTAACCACTGCGTCACTCAGGGTAAGGAGGCATTAACTAGGCAAAGAGGGAGTTGGTGAGAACGTTGCTGGCAGAGGGAACAGCATATGCAAAGGCCTGGTTTGGTCTGGAGAGCAATGGGATACCTCTGCAAAGGTTTAGGGAGAAGAATGATATAATCTGGGTTGTGTTTCAAAAGGACCCGTAAGTTCTTATCACAAAATAATTAAAAAAATACAAATTCATTGTGTTTTAGGTGGAAGTTTACAGCACAAATTAGTTTCTGATTCAAAAATTTATACACAAATTGTTTTGTGACATTGGTTGCAATCCCCGCATTGTGTCAGCACTTCCTCCCTTTCCACCTGAGGATCCCCGTGTCCATTCGTCCAGTTTTCCCGTCCCTTCCTGCCTTCTCGTCTTTGCTTTTGGGCAGATGTTGCCTATTGCTCTCATATGATTGATTGAACTAAGAAACAGTCCTCACGCGTGTTATTGTTTGTTTTATAGGCCTGTCTAATCTTCGGCTGAAAGGTGGGCTTCGGGAGTGGTTTCAGTTCTGACTTAGTAGGGTGTTCCGGGGTCATTAAACAATTTTTTGAGGGTTTGTAAATACTATGTTGTTTTTTTACAGACAGGAAAAAAGCCAACTCAGTCCAAGAGAAGTAATGATTTTAAAATGGATTCTACTGATGCTTCATTGTTGAGGACTCCATGGAGGAGGGCCTGGGAAGATAGAATTCACCACTTATGGGCAAGGCTAACTTTAAATAGTAGAAATGTCCCTTCAAAATTGGCTGCAAGTCAGATTTTCGTAAATTGAATCCTGCTTCAAATGTACAGTGGAAACTTGCTCCATAGAAGTATTATGTGGTGAAAAATTTTACAGAGGATTGTGTTTATGCAAATAAGTACCCTCTAAATTATCCGGCATGTAAATGATGGGATTTGTAACTACAACATTAAAAAATGGGGCCATCAATGACCCTGACAATCTTCAGGGACCTCAGAGATCTTGGATCCAATCCCCACATATTACAGATAAGTAAACTGACGTACTGACAGGTCACATGGCTGGCTAGTAGCAGAGCCACCACCTTGCATGCCCACCACGGCAGTGGCACCCTGGCAGTTACTTGGTTAAACTGATCAGTACAGTTGAACAACCAGGATAATTCAGTCCCTACATTTCACTTTGAAATGTATCAAATTATCAAGATTGCTTTATCAGCCCTTGCCTCTGTGATACATAGACACAGTCAAAGAAAGGGTGAACAGTCTTTAATTTTTGGCTTGGTAGAGCTGGGAGGGCAAATGAATGAGGGAAAGAAATCATATCCATACTATTCACTTTGCAGCTGTATTTATCTGGCAGTTCAGTTTGTCCATCCAAGTGGAAAAAGGACCATTGGGACAAAAAACTCTAAGGACTAATTACAATGGGCATTCTGAAAAGACAGTAACTTTTTCTTTTTCTACGGCATTTAAAGCCCAGCCTTGAATTCCTTATTCAATTTAAACACCCACAAAGATGGTAAATTTTTAACTGTGTAAAGCAGGATACAGACAGCCTTTTTTAGGAGGAGTAATTGCTTCTTGGCTCTAGAGCTGGATCTGAGGAGGGGACTAGGGAGAGAAGGGCAGGTTGCTGATGTTGAAGTCTTGAGGGGTCTGGACAGGGGGTCTCCTGCTGCTGATGGTTCCCTGCCCTGCTCCTCCTCTGGGGAACCCCTGGGGAGCACAGAGAGGATGCAGGAAAGGGGGTGGGGAGTGGCAGCTTAGGGATTTCCACCAACTTGGAGGCCTTTAGATAAGGTTTGGCAACCCACCTATGGATTACGGTGGAGACCCTGGGGAGAAAGGCCTAGAACAGATAAAAGGAGAGCTGGAAGGAGGCCCAGGAAAGCCGGGAGGCCCAGCTAAGGCAGGCTCCAGGTCCAGTCCAAGCTGCAGAGGAGTAGCTGAGCAGGGTCCAGGACTGGCTCTGCACTTTGCCAGAGGTATGAGCATTGGCTCATTATTTAACCTTGTTAAACTACAGTTTTCTCCTCTGTAAAATGGGGGTCATAATAGTGCATATCACATAGAGTTGCTGCAAGAATTAAATCAGATAATGTGTCTAAAGTGCTTAGCACAGAGTCCAATACAAGGGAAGGATTTACTAACTGGTCATTTCATCATCGGCGTCATCGTCATCATCATCATCATGGTTGCAACAGGGTTTAAATTCTGAACATGTGACTCCTGGTACATGGGGAGCAAAGCTCTCGGATAAAAATGGGTTTAGCTTCCTTCTATGTTCATTCTAGGAAGCAGGCACTTCTGGGCATGGTGACAGACTGCAGCATTGCCAAGAGTCTACTTTCATAAAGGAACCAAGGAGCCTCCTGGGAAAGGAAGAACTCACCATTAAGGTGAGAGTAGGGGTACTGAAGCTTGGTCCAAGGACAAGGTCCAACACCAAAAAAACCAAACTCGTTGCCATGGAGTCAGCGCCAACGCATGGTGACTCCATGTGTTACATGGTAGAACTGCTCCGTAGGGCTTTCTTGGCTGTAATCTTTACAGAAGCAGATCGCCAGACCTTTCTCTCCTATGGCATCACTGGGTGGGTTGGAACTACCAACCTAGTGGAAAGTGTTTGTGCCACGCAGGGACCTTGGACAAGGTCTAGAGCTGGAGAAAAAGAAGGGGCTAGTGAATACAGGATGGAGATGGTTTTCAGCCCACCGCTCTCGAACGTGTGTAAGTTAAAGTGGGTAAGAAGAGTCTGCTTTGGGACTCCTGTAACAAAAAGGGGTTCTCTCCACTTTGGTGGACAACATTGCATTGCATATGGGCGCTATGAGGACCATGCACAGCAGCTGCTGTAGAGGTGTGAGACGGACAGTGTCCCTGTCCAGATGTATGGCTCAGACATTGGCCACGTCACTGGATTTTTCATCAGAAGCAGTCAGCCTTTAGTGGTCCAGCAGCAGTGACAGCGCCACAGACATCAGAGGAACTGGCAGCTGATGCCAGCAGGGAGCGGAAACAGAAGAGAAGGAAAATGAGAGACAGACGTGGTGTGATGTTTGAGAGCACATGTGCGACACTCCCTGGGCAACCTCAGAAAAACTGGAAAAGGGTCTTT